GAAGGAGGAGGCATGCAGGGAGTGGCAGGATGTACCTTGCTGTTGACTGATCTTGTTCTTGTTATGCATAGCCAGGGTTTATTGTCCAGCAAGCATGCTCTGCAGTAGTTGCTCCCAATGTTTTTGGCAATGTCTACTTGTGGCCCATCATCATCTGTTGCATATGTGCAATATATAGGATAGTACCAGAGTACCACAGTGGGTGGCTCAGGAGGTAGAGTGGGTTGCCTGTTAACCGGAAGTTTGGCAGTTCAATTCCTGGTTCCTCCAGGCTGCATGTCAACGTGTCCTTGGAAAAGATACTAAATTTGTACTTGTTATTATTCGGTCCATTAATTTCTGATTCAAGTACTTTTATAAACAGCTTACAGTTTACAATGTTAGTCTACATTTAACATTTGAAAGTTTGTCTTTTTCTTCGATTGTATTTTTTAGTAAAATAGTGGTTCCAAAACGTTTTGGCTGCATCCCTTTCAATGTCTGCTTGTGATCTCACAGTTTATGGTCTTAGTGTGCAAAGAGTGAATTTTCCTTCTCACATTGTATTATTTGGAGGATTTTTACAGGCCTTATGAGGTATACATCTTCAGTGTTTCACAAGAAAAAAGCAAAACATTTGAGAAAAGTCAGAAAAAAATCATCATAATATTGTGTAAATGAAAAATATCCCACTGTTTTATATCAGTTTAATCATCCATCTCGGGAACTCTCAGATTTATCGTGGGATCTGATTGTTTGTGGTCCCAAACACCAGGTTAGTAATAGCAATGGATTAGAGGAACATTTCGGGGAAAACATTATTATTAATTTTTATAATATTTCCTGCTTTCCTATTTTAGTTTAGTCTAGTTTATGTGTATGTGTACTATATGTAGTTATATAATGTTCTGTTTTGTATTTGTTCATTATGTATTTGTGTTATAAGACCCCCTTGAAAATGAGATGATAATAAATTCAATTAAATTCAGTTCAGTTCTGGGTTAGATTGTCTCACTGCCCGTCTGGGAGATGTAGGGAACCACCAGGAAGCAGTATGTGGTTAAATACTAATCTAAAGTAAGGACTTTAATCTTTGACAGCCTTTGTTGTCGGTGGCATGAGGACATGCAGATTAATGAGTCTGTTTGCCTCTAAACTTTCATTTCTGTGTGTGTTTATGAGAGGGAATAAGAGACAATACACCGGCGGTCCAGAGCAGCCAAACACGTGTGAGCGTTCACACAATGTCCCTTTTAGTGCCAAGTGGTCGGTCCATCTCAAAAACATATCAGACAGACTGTAATAAACAGGTGCTTGTTGGTGCCGTGCTGTGTATTGGAGAGAGAGAGAGAGGTCTGTTTGAGTGAGTCATGTGGCTGGGGCTGAGCCCGGGCCAGGGAGTGGGGTGTGAGATTGTTGGGATTCCTGGTTACTGCCGCCTGGGCCCACCTAATCCCCCTTCACTCCCCCATGCAGCCCTCCTCTCCTTATGAGCTGTGTGTTAAAGGAGGCCTCTCTGCCATCTTAGCCTCTGCTCCCGGCCACTCTCTAAATCAACCCTCTTCTCTTTAACCCTCACCCTACTTCTCTCTCCTCGGCTTGATCTTCATTTCCCTGACCCCTCTTTCTCTGACTCTGTCTGTCACCCTATCTGGCCTTTCTCTCCCTCCCCAGCCTCCCTCCTGTTGCCTCTTCCCTGATAAGTGGCCCTAAGCACACACTCGGCCCCTGTGTGTGCACCGAGCCTTTGCCTAATGGAGTGAGATAAAGCAGCTAGAGGGCCCCTCACTGTGCCCTGTTTATGAGAAGGCAAGACTAGGGAATTACTGACTGACATTCGCATGAAAAGTTATACCACTGAATTAGTCTTAGTGTTTTTTATTTACTAAGAATATCTGAGAAGAGGTGTCTATATTTGTATGTAGATGTCAAAAAGACCTTAGAAACTGTCTTTTTGACATTGTTATTGAAAGATTAGAGCAACATTAAACAGTCTTCCTTAATCTCTATATTGGTCATTCCTGCATTTTCTCTGTATATGTGTGTGTGTATAGTAACATACACATAACCAGAAAGAGATAAAATTAACATTAAACATTAAACATTAAACGATAAAGTCTGTGCTATTCTATATTTTTGTTTATACAAATCCTATGAAAAGACTAAAACAAACAATGCATTAGTTCATATCTCAATCTGACTATCTGTTGCCCTCAGATTAATGCCCCTTGGTTCCAACTAATGTAAATACTTACCGTTCACAAGTATACTTTCAGTGATGTTATTCAAACAGTAGTAAACAGTGCCCTTGTTGGGGACTATTTCTAGGTGCGTTATATCACATACATATCACTCATTGTAACAGTGTGGCTCTTTAATGTAATGTTTCTGGACAGCAATGGAGCACAGAGGAGCTATATGAGGCTTTTGCTACACAGGTAATCATAGCCATAGTGTTGGTCTGGTATTTGTTATGGGACTTGTCAGAAAAATATAAAATATTTTCAGCCTCACCCTTTAGAAAAGAGAGAGAAAAGAAGGCGCTTAAAAGGTAATATTATTAATAATAACCCAAAATAGTGACAACTTTCAGTTTCTGTGCAGTGGTAGACCAGGTAAAACATTGGAAAAGTGGGCTATAAACTGTTCCACTGCAACTTGTATGCACTATCCAGTAATAAGACAACATGGCCACTCCAAAAAGATCATATGAAAGACCTCTATTAATTCAAGTTAAGGACTTTCCATAACGACTCCGTACTTTTCCAGGCTTGTGGAAGTATGGAAAAGTATGGAGTCCTTATGGAAAAAACCCTAACAAAATTAAAAGGGGCTTTTCATGTATTCAAAGTATCAATAAGTTATAAAACTCTCCCAGAAAATGGTTAGCTGAGGCAGTAAGGCATTTGCTTTTTTCCTGAAGGTTTTATTTCATAAAAGTGTATCAATTATTTATGTTGTTTAACGGATGTAGTCTTTTGAGGTGGAGCCTGGATTGACAGTAGCAAGGAGTCTACAAACACACACTTTCTCGGACAGAGGCAGCTGGGGCTGGGAGAAGGCAGTCAAGTTTAATGAAATGTAGCTGAGTTCAAAGGCTCCACAGTAGGGCCTGTTAAGGGTAGGTCGCGTGATGGAGATGTTTCCAGAAGGTTTATGACACTGGAGTAATTTCTCTCTGTTTCTTTCCTGTTCTTTTGATGAGGGGGTCGGCAGAAGCCTGTTGTTCTGGAGTCATTAGTGAAGGAAGCAGAGGTAGATTCACTGCAAACAAGGAGCGACGTTATTCCAGTGATTCTGCTTTAATCAGATAGATTGACTGGAGCATCTTATTCTCTTTACCTCTTTCTTTTTATTCCACCCCCTTCTGCTGTTTCTCTAGTCCCTCATGTCACCCAATAGCTCCTCCTGCACCATTCCCACCACTGAATCAGTTGCTATTCAGCCCACATCAGATGGTGCCGAAGAAAGAGCCATTGTCCCGGCTGGTCTTACCCCTCTCTTATCTATTGATTGGAAAGCTGAGAGGAGAAAATAACGGGTATTGATTACCACGCTGGGTGAAGTTGCTGGGCAGGACGTCTGGAGGGGTAAGAAAAGACGGCATTCTTCACCCTCCGCTGCCCCGCTGCTGTCAGAACAGCCTCCACCGCCACTCTATGTATCCAGTCCTCTTTCACCCTGCTCCTTCCCTCCCTCCCTCACCTCAAGTCCTTTCTTGAACTGCCAAGGTGGCTCTCCCCTACTCTTTCTCTCTCACTGTTTTTTGCCGATTTTTATCTCCGCTTGTGAAATGTATAGCCAAGTGCAGCAGCAGGCTCTGAACAGAAGCTCTGGCCTTTCACACACTCTCCGAGTGGCAGTGTCTCCCTCACCTTTCGCCTTCACCCAACCCCTCTAGTCTCAAGTAGAGTCACTGGCTCCGGTTTTTAGATTTTATGTAGTTTATTTGTAATTTTTTACCCTTCCTTCCTATGTTCCTTGAACATCCATTTTGTTATATTGTTGTATTACACAAGTGGTCCTGAGGTTTTAAGAGATTCATGATACAATATTTCCCTGGTAGCACAGGCTCCATTAAACTTCCTCCCTTATGTTAGAGGTCTGTCTGCCTTGTACGGTCTGCTGAGCTAACACAGTGCTGCTGAGTAGGAGGAAGCATTCTCCAGCTACTATCTGTCTCCCTGCCACTTATCCTTTAAGTAAATATGGAATATTGAAGACACATTCACTCCGATCAGTGTTTATCTTAGTGATGAATCACTACAGTCTGGCATTGTGCAAAAGACCTTTTGATGCACAAAAAATTCTTGGAGATTAAGGACCAAATCCTTTTTATTAGAAGATGTTGTTAGATAGTGTTGTTTGAATACCTGTGTCCTGTATTGGGCATACGGTGTTGCGTGCATTATCAAGTTGTTCTCATTGTGGTTAGTTAAGTTCCAGGTGTTCGCTATTGGAACGGCTGTCAGCAGCCAACCCAACCCTTTATTGACATGTTTGCAATGACTAAAAGGACCAAAGTACTTTGTATGGGGGGAAAATGCATGTACACATCATTACAAATCCGCAGGTGTTTTTTTAAAAGAGAAAACAAATGAGGAGAGAACATTGCTCAACTCTGACAGCCTTTGTAGTCTGTATTTTCTTTCTTTCCCAACATATTTCCCTTCTCGGATGCCTGCACGTCAGATCAACAGTTCATTAACCCGCTCACAAGGTTTTCTTAACAACTGCTAAATTTAGTCTGTATCGCAAGAATGCCTCTTATTGAATGTGCCCCTTTCTTAAAATAATCCATCACCAAATTGAGCAAAGAAAAACAGAGCTAATTCTGAGAGTTGCCAGGCCTCCTCCTCCTCCTCTTCCTGAGTTATGAAAGATTTCTTTCACACATGGAGCTCAGCTATAATAAGGAGCGCCATACCAATGCTGCAATACGGGAAAGCTCATATGATCATGTGTATCATTTTACATTTACAGAGCAGCTAACAATTCTAACAATTTGAGTAAACACTCACCGGTTTGTCATAGATCTGGCAGATTCCCATTCATCACAGCCTCCGTAGAGAACCATAATGCTTAGTTCAGCAACCAGGAGAGAGCCTCTGAGGACTGAAGCTAAAACAGCAGAGAAAAGTGCACCTATAGTATATTTTACCACCATGGTGTCATAACATGTTCTATTCGTACATCCTGAACTATTTATCTCACAATCAAGCTGATTAGGCAAAAATTCCCTAATTCCCTTTTTTCAAAATTGGCTTTCATTTTTTACAGAGAGCCTCTGTGTGGTAGTTTCAACTCCAAGGTTAAGAGAACCTGTCCTTGAGAGGGAGGAATAGGAGGAGGGGGAGGAGCGTCCCTATTGAAGAAGGGATGATGGTCATGCACACAGCGCAAATACTTATAAAGTTATTTAGACAATGTCCTTGATTTCAGCACCTCTTCATGCCTTGTTTTTCAAAAGGACTTCAAAAGGTTTTTTTAAGAGCGGAGATGGAGGGAGGAAATCATTTGTTACACATTCCTCTCACTTGGAGCACCAGCTAAAGCTTTCTGGTCTATTAAGCCAAAAAGCTCAGGAGCTGGAGTCGTCCTAAATAACCCAAGTTCAAGATCACATAGACCTTTATCACAATTAAAGGAATAGTTAGACATTTTGGGAAATACCCTTATTTGTTTTTGTTTGTTTGCTTTGGGAGGTGGTGGTGGTGGTGGTGGGGTTGCGTACAGACCATAAGAGTGGTATCAATCTTCTCATCCAACTCTCCTCAAGAAAGCGCAGAAGCCTATTTCCCAAAATGTCAAACTGTTCCTCACACTCACATTACGTCTACCAAACGTAGACGGAACCTAGCCAAAGTTTCACTGCACCCACAACATTAAGCCATCTGATCATATAAATGAAATTAGTAGAAGGAAGCTTACAAAAACACATTTAAAGAAGGATCCTCCACTAGAAGGCTGGGTGTATAATAAGTGGCGAATGCTATGCAAATAACACTGCAGAGAGGTTTTGCAGCGCACCGTTATATGTTTTTCCAAATGGAAAAGAGCATTCAGATGTTTCCTTGTCTCTTTTTATTTTCTGGAGAAGAATATAAAGCTCCAGATCAGCCGTCCAGCTTCCAGAAATCTTTGTTTGACAAGCAGTACCTATGCTGGATCAGTGTGTTTTGATACTTTGCTTCAGCTGAACCTTTGACATGAATCAGGCCTTGTTTTTGTGTCAGTCCCATTCCATTAATCCAGAAGGAAACACATGGTTGAGTGGCTTGCAGGACCCTAAATCTGAAGAGATAACTGAAGCCTATTTGTTCAAGATTTGACAGAAATGTATTTATGTTTTGACAAGGCAGTTCAGTCTCAGTCCATGTGAGCTCCAGCAGCACCATTCCAACGCTGTGACCTGTTTGTGGTCCTAAAGCAGAGTCTGCAGAGTAAGAAACTGAACAGTGAGCACCTCTGTTCTACTTCTGGTAGCTGTGGAGTGAGATATGGGCCAGCTGACAACAGCCGAAAAAGCTGTGGTCACGTTTTCTCCACAGACATAAACAATGACACTTCCAATTTCCTGTGCATGCTGTGGACCAAGAAAGGCCATCCACAGAGAGGAAAGAAAATTCTGAGCATGTGTGTGTATGCGTTCATGCATGGTTGAGAAAGACAGACACTAAAAGGGAAGGAGGTTTTTCATCGGTTTTACGCTTACAGGTTTCACTTATTTTCCACCGAGTTCTGTGGCATGACTTATAAACCTCCTTTTTAAACTTTTTTTTTTTTGTTGAAAATATGAGTAAGTCCAACATTTTTAGCATCGAGGTCACCGGCCCAGCAATCCAGAATCCAGCCTGCAGCTGAGATGCATCTGTTTGCTATGTGATTTATAAAACCAGATGGAGTTACCTGTGACGCCTTCCCCCACTGCAGCCCCATCAGTATAATGAACTTCTTGTTTACCATATGTGTGAAATGCACCAAAGGAATGTGACTCCGTCTATGTGTTTGAGCGTGTGTGTATGTGTTTCGGGGGGCCATGTGTACTTACCCTCCCTATTGTTTTTAGTGCTACCAGCCCGGCTATTTGTTCTGAGGCATAGACTGTGCTCTGTGTACTTGTGAGGGCAGTTGCGGCTATAGGGTTTGGTTGCATTTCCTCCCCCTCTCTCACTCCTCCAGTCTCCTGTTTCTCTTTGGTGTCTAGTCTGCTCAGTAATTCGGGGTTTTGTTTAGTTTTTGGTGGGAGTCGGGGGTGGTTAGTTGAACGCCTGGTGCTGTGCAAGCAGCAGCCCAGGCCTCCTAACACCATCACAGGGTGTTTTTGGACCGCTCCACTTCACCAGATCTGAGGGAGCAGACCTGAGCCAATTAAGAGCAGGGAGAACGGGCTGCTGTCTGTCTCTCTGCGACCCGCCCTCCTCATCGCTTTGATCTCTTGCATGCTATGCAAAACCAGAGCTAGAACCACTTTACCCTCTCTGTGCAGATATTGAACGACAGGGCTTGTCCAATTATTACAATCTGGTTTGGACATTTCTAGGTAATCAGACAAAATATGACAAATTACCTCTATCACAATACATCTGTCCACATCCAAACTGTTTTTAGAAAGGTTTTTAGTGAGGATTCAGATATTTTATTTCATTTGCTGATTCCAATACACTTTTGTTTTGCTTCTTCTTCTCTTATAAAAATGTTTTTGCAATGTCACTTGTTTAGTAAATCCATTAAATTTAGTGGTTATGAAGGAGGAGCCTATAAATTAAAACTTACAGTGACAGATTCCTAGCAGTGTATAGATTTATTTAGTTTATGTATGCACTGTAACCTGCTCTACCTCCTGAACCACAGCCGCCTTCCTTTATGTATTGTGGTCCAAAGGGGTTACAAGCTGATTAACAGGAGAAAAAAGGAGGAAAATTCATTCTTGACCTGGAATTGCAGTTGGTAAAACAATCTTCTCATAAGGTCCATTCAGTAGCTGTGCTGGGACTTTTGATCAAATGACATGATCTTCATTAGGAGATGGAGTTTTCCAGATGTCATGAAAATAGGTGTTCAAATTGCCATTCCTACATACACTTTAAGGACTTCTCGTCTATGTCGGCTTCAAAGTTTTGATTAAAGACCCAGAACAGCAGCTGAATGGCGCTTATGGTAAAATTATTTGACAGCTAAAAAAAAGCAAATTTCTGCGCTGCAAAATATATTTATTTTTCCTTCCTTTGTTCTAATCTTTGCTCTTTTTATGTGAACAGGAAAAATCCCTCTTTGACTGAACTGGTCACAACCGGAAGAGGTATACAACCTGTGACAAGGGGTCGCAAGTAGACATTGCATTGTTTGAAAGGGTCATAGGTCACAATGTTGTGAGTCACTGGTCTAGATGATGTTTGATTGTCTGTTTCACCCTGACAAGAATAACATTGTTTTGATTAAAGATGTGGAATACCATCTAAAAATATTGGTCTCTGTTATTGTGGGCTGCAGACTCAAACAAATGTTTTTTTCCCTTTTGTGAAACCGTTATCGTGTTTGTGTGTCCTCAGGACCTCCACGGGTCTCTGAGAAGGTTGCTCACAGACAGACTGCCCGGCTCAGGAGCGCCATTAAGCTGCCGTGTCCAGTGGAAGGAGACCCTCCGCCCCTCATAATGTGGACCAAAGATGGGCGCAACATCCACAGCGGCTGGATCCGTTTCCGTATCCTCCGCATGGGCCTGAAGATCAAGGAGGTGGAGGCAGATGACACGGGGACCTACATCTGCAAAGCCACCAACGGCTTTGGTAGCGTTAACATCAACTATACACTCATCGTCATCGGTGAGTGTAAATGGAGTCATATGCATCACATTTGATAGTCTGTTTAACCTTTTGCTCTGCTCGTTCCTGAGATGAGATTACTGAGGATTGTTAAATGTGGCAGTCTTGTTAAAAAATTCTGTATCTATAAAACGTAAAGTCACCTGTCTGGTAAATAAAACCAGAGACCACGGCGGTGAGTCAGTCTCCTGATTTTTTTACGATCAGACTGTGTCATCTTTTGCCGTGGTGTTTTGAAGCCATAGTTGTAACACTTTCCTGCAGTCAAAAATCTCACCACAGTTCAAATGTTAAAAGACAGCATTACTCACAGAGGTCGAGCTCTAAAACAAGTGGATTTATGGAGGTTTATTGGTTGATCCTCTCATCTATCGTATGTGTTATAGCCCCTACCTCTCCCTGCCCAAAGTCAACAGCGGCATGGGATATTGTTTCATACCACTTCATCCTCTGTGACTCAGTTGGATCTCAAGCTCTTCCTTTTCCTTAGGCTACACTCTGTGGAGGCAAGAGGTCTGCAGCTCCGCAATAAGAAACACATTCAGCGTAATAGTGCCGGTTTGTCTCACAGAACTCTTGAATGGGGCCTGGAGGATTAAGCACAGTCTGAATGAATGTGTTACTCGTTTGTGCATGTGCATATAGCGCATTTCCTCTGCGCTTGAGCAGAGCATGATGAATGAGCGGAGTGGAGCGTGAAGGCTGTGTTTAGTCTAATTACTCTAAGATGCCTAATTAGGGCCAGAGTCGGTGCTCTCTCTCTCTCTCTCTCTCTCTCTCTCTCTCTCTCTCGCAGGAGAAGCTGTAGCCTGGTCTTCTGACAGCCAGGCTATAGAGGACGGGCCATAATCAGGCAGATGTGGAAAACACAGAGCAGAAAACGGTGCCTAGTCGAGACTGAAGTTTATTTTAGGGTCCCACTCAATATGAAGTTCTCATTGAGTTCAAAGAGAGGGTGTCTGCTGATTGTGCTAAAATGAAAGGTTGGAGATCGAGGCACCGAGCCAGCTATAATGTCAAGGTCCACACTATAGTTGTGCTATTTAGTATTAAAGTCAGACGTGGCTATGTCTGCGTCTACATTAAACTTAAAGGGCATTCTGAGTTTTTACATACACTGAACACGTCTTTGTGGAACACATTCAGAATCAATCATGTGATGGATAACAACCAGCATGTCATTTTAAATTTGTTTCAAGACTCTGCCACAATCCTTGGTGCACTTTGATGTGATGGAGTAGGTCTATTTAATGTTTTTCCACTGAAGAAAGTAAATATAGATTCTTTCAAGTGGGGATTGAAGTCTATGTGAATAGAAACAAAAAGGAAGCCAGATAGAAATCAAACCAAAATCTATATGGTCACAGTTCTGATGGCCTGTTCAGGAATGGAGCTGTGATTTCTGCTGTGCTTCTGTTGAACAGTAAATTAAAAAAAAATGCTGTCTCCAAATAGGTACATTGCCTTTGCCTCAACTTTGAGTAACACCTTAAAATCTATCAATGGTCAACAAGAGTGAAGGTCACCATTTCTGACACAGTGTAAGACATTCAAGCAATTCAACAGAAGTATGTAGCATTATTATCAGGTACTTGGTCTTTCTTGTCACCTGTTTTAAAAAATGTTTAAAACAGGTGACACTGTTTAAAGAGAGTGTTGCTGGTGGTGTTGTCATTTATTATTTCTTATAAACCAGAGGAATAGAAATTTGTTTTGGCTGTGACAATCTTAGTGGTCTTTGTAAGCCAAAAAAGAGCTTGCACAAACATAAGAAAATACAAATAAGGGAAAAGGGCCACAAATGTTTCCCTGACCACTGGGCTCTTTAAACATGTGAGACAGCTTATTTTTCTAAATAGATTATTGGTCTGTGCTGTAGAGCCAAATACTGTGCATGCATGTGGGATTCATTTTTGGATTTGAATATTGATTAAAGGCTGAGAGATACAGAACGATGATTTTGATAAACGAAAGCCAACATACACACTCGCACACACACATACAGGAGACACACACAATTAGTCAGTTAATCTCATTGATAGATAACAACCTTTCCCCCCGCTGGTGTGTTTATGTGGCAGATCATCTGTCTGGTTTGGCTTCTGCAGCAGTGCGACTGAGTGAGAATGAAGACTTCAATGAAAACAGTTTAAGGCCGCTGTGATGAAGCTGGCAGGGATCGCAGGGAGATCAGTTCAACCTGACTGCATGCGTTGCTTTACTCCCACTCTGATTACGTTAGGAGAAAATACCATTGGAAGTTCAATCATAAGTCTTTCTTGGAAGCATATTTCCATGCGATTTTTATCAGGAGTGTTTTTTTGCCCTTTATGGTGTTACCTAGAGACTTTCTGGCCTGACTCTTAATCCTGATCTGGTTTGTTCCATTTCCTCCTTGTCCTCTGGTGGTGGTGAGTGCATGACAGACCAACTCTAGATACTAACGGGCAGTCTGCATCTCACAAGGACACCCCTCCCCCCCGCCTCTTTCTGCGTTCTTGTCCATCATCCCATTAGGTATTGGCAGGCCATCATCACAGCGTTTGTTTTTATAGATAATTGTTCCATCAGAGCTGCACTGCATTCTGGGTGCCTTTTTGCCTTAAAAGATTAGGGGCCACAAAATACTTCCAGGATTGAAGTCAATGTAATACCGCCAAATAGTCTGCAATTATCATGAGCAACACTTTCCATTAATGTTGAATCACCTAATTGTTAGCCATTTTAATTTAGTTGCATGCAGTTAACTGTATAAACCTGCTGGGAGGCCTATTATGTTGCTCAAAAAGATCAGAGAGAGAGATTATTTATTTGAAATACTGTAAATGAGGGGTAGCTCCCCACATACAGTATCCATCATGTCAGTTTATTATTTTTACTGGATCACAGAAGAAAAAAAGTAAGAGAGGCAACTGCAGTCTGTAATAGTGCCGGTCAGGGGGAGAAGGGTCGACGAAATCCTGGCAGCTGTTCAAGTTCAAGGCTCAGTGTGGAGAGCATAACTTTTTAAACATCGCTTGGGACCCAGAAGAGAAGCCAAGCAGAAGAAAGACAGTAAGATAAAGAGACAGCGAAGATGTGGGTGAGAGAGTGAGGGGTTCTGCAGAGTGATGTGAGGAGAAGGGGTGGTGGGAGGGGTGGTCCACTGTAGCTGGAGAGATATCCCTCCTCCCATCTGCCAGTGGACAGCCTGTCCTCCCCTGAGCTATCTGAAGAATCTGGTCAGTCAGTGCAACATGGCGCCTCCTCAATCCCTCCAGCTGGCTGTTTGGGCCCTGTTTGGGGTGGTCTCTTGACAACTGGCCCCATCACCTCTCAGCACCCCCACCAGGATAGGCCGATGCGTGCCGCAACCCTCTTCGTCCTCAGCTGCTCAGGCTACAGCAGGCTTCACATGAGCATTAACATGGGATTGTCATATTAACATTTACAGGATTGGATTTTAATGTTTATGTCTACACAGATAATATATTACAGGGCTGATACAGGGCTGGCAGCGCTCATTCTATCTACATGGAGATGTTGGCTCTCGTGGCACATTTTTCTTTTCACTCCTCTCCGGAGACGTTGTCAGGCCAACTGCTGGATAAACTGCCCCGCGTGTGACGGATCACATGTGGTCGCTGTTTGGAGATTTCCACAGTGTGATGCAAGACCACTGCACATAACTTTCCCTGGACATTACAATGTCCCCAACAACATCTGGAGCCCATTGTGCCCTCAAATCATCAGGCCTTTTCCTGTGATTCAGCTGGCACAGGAGGCCAGGGGAGAGAGTGCGTAGTGGCCTGTTTCCTGTGGCTGGATTTGTGAATGAAGTGGGAGGGGATGGCGTCAGACCCTAAACACTGTAGCGAGGTCATGAATGGATTTAAGTTGTATGGAAGGAGGCTGATTGCGTTTTAAACAATTTGATACTTCCACTTGGAGCATTTGCTTGCATAAGCATGGTCTTGAATCATGACTCTTGTAATTGAATTTCCATTCGCATGAAAAACCTTTGATTTCATACAGTACAGTAATCACTGATTCCATAATAAGTTGCAGCTTTTATTTACTTTCCATTACACAGGAAAAGGCCTCTCAGTCACTCTTCACTAATCCTTATTGATTTTATTTTATTTTTCAATTTTCCAAAAATAACAATCATTTGGCAGCCACGAGATGTGCTACCTCACCCCTGTCTGCAGTCTAGTGAGCCAACATTGTGTAAAGACAATAGTGGCAAGGCATAGCTTTAACAGGACAGACATATAAAGAGTGCCATTGTTCCCTAGAATCGCCAAAAAGTAGAGAGGAAATAGATTCAGGGGGAAAAAAGTCAAAAAGAAAACCCCGGTAGTGTGGGACCAAGTTCTGTTTGGATTGGGAGGTTCAGGAACCAGGAGGAATGTGGAGAGCCCAAGTGAGCAACAGAGAAATATTTCTTCCAGTGGAGGCTGTTTTTTAAAGGAATGGGTTATTATAGTTGGCCAGTTAAACCCCTTCAAATAGCCATGACATCATGGCTGGGCTTGGTGCTGCAGGGGACAAACAAAGAAGGGTTTGTACCCAGAGAACCCTAGAGAGCTTTGACGGTTTCGGGGGGACTCGGAGGGAGGCAAACGAGGGGGTTAGAAGTCACATCTGGTCTATTTACCTGACCCAATCAAACCCTGAGAGAGGGAATCAAGCGTGCCAAACTGCATCTAGAAAAATCCAACTTGAGGCCGCATTGAACATGAACTCAAAAAGAGGTACGAAAGGTACAGAACAAGCTGGTAGTTTTTCCATTTTGTTTTATTAAAAGATACAGTTCACTTGGCCTTTACATATATACATATATTGTGTCTTTCTTTCCCTTCCACTTTGAGATGCTAAGAATGACTTTAGACTATCGTATCTAATGCAAAGCAACACCTCAGTGGTATCATATAAAATAATTTAACAGCAGTGCTTCTGCTTAACGTCTGGCAGATATTGGCGAGGAACCTGAACTGCTCTGTTAATTCGTCAATGCTTAACTCGAAAAGTCGATACGCATCACAAACTGTCGATTAAGTTTCACTCATTATACTTTCTCTAAGCCCTGTCTTAGCTCCGCTGCATGATGTCAGCCAATGACATAAACTCCACAGCTGTCTCCTGGAACTGGGCTTATGAAAACTGATCATATTACTTTCAAATGTTACAGAGTATGACCCGAGCATGCACCCCGCTTAGAGGAGCCTATCTGTAAATGCTAAATTTACTCAGATAGAGCCAAGAACGCTTTTCTGGGCCTGTTGGTCGCTGCCATATGAGCTGTGACAGAACCAGATTCTAAAATATTAACAATATATATAAACTGAAACATGCTTTTTTAGTGATTTAAAAAGCACAAGGTTGATAATAAATTACCGTTTAATGCTTCAGATTAATGTCAATGCAATATATACATGCAGTACATTACACACCTATGGGCTAGCTTTTTCTGTATAAACAGGAAGGAAGTTGAGTGTGTAAGTTCATTTTTGAACTTATAAATAGTAGTTTGAATAATCTTAACTTAAGGTCTACTTAACAACTTTTGTCAGAGCTTGAAAATGCAGCTCAAAGCTCCAGAAAAAGCCATAATGTTTCAAATCTGGTCTTAAAGTTGGGGAAAGAAAATACAAAAAGTTGTTCTTTGACTCAACAGCAGCTGTTTGGTATCATCAACTCAAATGGCCTTTGTAAAATAGGATCAACTCAAATTCACCCACCATTACCTGCCTTTACAACCTTTACTTCATTTACTGCTTGGCGTTTAAGTAATGTTAATTATGGCCGATATTATCGACCGATATGAGCTAATTGCATTTAATCGGCATCAGCCGTTTATAACAGCAGATAAATGACAATTAGAGTCAGATCCTTCACTCGTGTCATGGGTGTTGCATAGTTTCCCACCAGAGGGCGACCAGCTGCAGCTCCCCTGTTAACAACACTGCCTCACCTCAAAAACCACAGAAGAAAACAATCAGCTGACCAGAGTTTACCCGAGCTTACACGCAGCATGTAGAAACCAAATACAGAGAAGGCTGTGTGAGCGGTGAGTCGGTCTTTTGTCACGTTAATTACATGATATAAACATGAATAATAATTATAATAAAAACAGACTCAATCACTTCTCCTCTCCTGAAAACATTCATGACTTGCTAACCCTCCCGTTTTTCACTGCACTCCCCTGGCTTCCAGCAGGTCACAGCAGTTTAATGTTACGGTATCTGCTGACAGACGTAACTGTTGATTTATTCTGAAACAGTGCGGCAGTTCTAGTGAACGGTCCACATTTGTCTGTAGTTCATCACTTTTAATTATTCTCTAAAATCAGGTAACGTTACAGCAGCTAACGCTGCCTGTTGCTAAATTAGCCACAAAGCTAATGCCGTGTTTATCAGTGGAGGAGCGCTAACGTTAATAAGCCGTTAAACTATAGTTTCTGACATATTCTAAATATAGCTGCCAGCTGCCTGTCTGCAGTTAGTCAGCGTGTCTGAAATTATTAAACCAGAGCGGACATGTAAATAAACATGAGCTGAACAAGAATCTAACACGGCTTCCTGTAACTCCTCTATTTGTGACGTAGTAGATGTGAAACACTGTAGTCAGAGCCGTAATGGCTCTGGTTGTAGTTATAACGTTAGTTAAATGACATCTCAAAGTTGCAGGTCCTCGTTTGTAGAGTCATGTTATATTAGATGCATTCAACAGCAGCTCACTTTATCATAGACGCCATGATTTATACTGATGGTTTCACGTAGCTTTGGTTAGAATTAAAGAGTGCTGGTAAAGGGATGAACCAGATGTGAATGTGCTACATTGAAATTATGGCAGATTATGTGTAAAGTGAAATACACATGCTTATTCTCTCTCTGTTTACAGATGGCTGAAAAAGTTGCACATTCCAGCAGCAAATATTTATTGATGTGCAATTGTTTACATGTTCACTTTTTGAGACTGTAATCTATTTTATTAACATAATCCATTTAGGAAAAGGTTTTATAGCCCACATACATACCAGCTTTCAATATCAGCCTGTTCTAAGTGTATTTTATACAGTAAAGGGGTGTACTATCGAAATCATTCCCTAAATCTAAATATCGGCTCATAAATCGGCTCTTTTTCACTTTAATATCGGCATCGGCCCCCAAAAACCCGTATCGGTCCGGCTCAAATTTTTAGTTTGTTTGGTTTTACAATAGTTTCAATTCTGTGCTGCAAGATTTCTTTTATCTTAACAACCAACACCTTGCTGTTTTGGTTGGCCCTCAACTGTTGACAAACTGTTGTCCTGCTGTGTTTAACAGATGACTCGGGTTCTGATAAAGCTGGACCTGGAGCAGATGATGCGCCACAGTCTGACCCGGGCACAGACACAGAAAAATTTGGTAAGAGCTCTGTTGGCAGGCTATCAGTGATGCAGTTGTAACTCAAAGGACCATGTCAGTGGTTTTGCATGTTTTATCCTGTTTGGAACAAACACATGCACTTGACATCACAGATAAATATTTTGCAAATCATGCTGCTGTGTTTTTAGATTTTTCCTCCAGACAGCCATTTGTTCCCTTTAATCTGTGAAATGAAACTTTTAGCTGACTCCTAAAACTTGTTTGAGTCGTGGAATCCATTGCAGTGAACGTCATGTCTGCATTTCAATTATGTCAAAGTGACATTTTTGTTATTTGATAACGCAGTTTAAGTGCATTGCTTTATTCTGCAATGATATTGCAACTTTAATAAAACACAATACAGGCTTTACTGTGAAGGATTAGACAACTAGTTCCAATAATCTATCATTTTATTTTCATGCTATATGATAAGAATCAACAGAAAATGGTCAGCAAAAGTGTAAAGTACTGTATATATGTAGTTAACGAGCTAAAACTTGCAAAAACACTTTAAAATGAGGGTACACTGCCAACTCCAGTCACGTATGCGCACTCATAAGTTAAGTAACTAAATGTTTCCTCTTCTTTCATCTAAAGTGCGTCCCCGCTTCACACAGCCCGCTAAGATGAGAAAAAGGGTGATAGCTCGTCCTGTTGGCAGCTCGGTGCGGCTCAAATGCATGGCCAGTGGAAATCCTCGACCGGACATCGTGTGGCTGAAGGACGACAGGCCGCTAACGGAGCAGGAGGTCGGCGAGGGCCGTCAGAAGAAGTGGACTCTGAGTCTAAGGAGCCTGACGCCAGAGCAGAGCGGCAGATACACCTGCAGGGTCTCCAATCGGGCAGGGGAAATCAACGCCACATATAAAGTTGAGGTCATACGTGAGTATCCCACAGAGAGGCTGAGCTGTACGCATACCGAACATATTCACCTGGAAATATTAAAGCTAACAGACGAGGCAGAGGTAATTCATTTAAATGATTACTGCTGTTTGTGTGGATCGTGTTTGTGATCTTTTGTACAGTGCTGCGGGGAAATTGATAGTGTAGGAAGAACTGTAACCTTTAAAAAAAACACAAACAAAAAAAAAAAAATCTTCTCTCTGATGTACCTATTCCTGACGTGTGATTGCGATCAGCAGGTCTTATTCATATCCTTGCTGCATGGATGAATGTGCTTGTGTAATCATGTATACGAGAAGCATATTGAGGAAGCAGGCTTGAGAGTGAGGGCTTGTGCCCTGGTGTTTGCACAAGGGGGGGGAGAGTGAGGGAGAGAGAGAGGCTGTTCAACTCAGAGACCCTCCACCAAATCTGGAGCTGATTAAAGTCCAGCTGTCTGCCAGACCCACTGCGTCCCCCCTCCCCCCCCCCCCTCCCATGAGAAATGTGTGCTGTACAACCAGGAGCAAAGAAAGAGAGGAAACTAATCACACATACTTCTTGTGTTACATGTGGTATTCCTCCCTCCCTGTCAATTCTAAATTATAAGCCTGAGGCTAACAATGGTATGTACAACTAAGACCTCTTCTATGCACAGAAGGGCTGTCATGTCAAAAGATGTTTGTGTGTATCTTGACAGTTTTTCTCTGTGTCTTTGCAGAGAGGACAAACTCTAAGCCTGTTTTGACGGGCACCCACCCGGTCAACACGACGGTCGACTACGGAGGCACCACGTCATTCCAGTGCAAAGTGAGGAGTGACGTTAAGCCCGTCATTCAGTGGCTCAAACGCGTGGAGTCCAACGAGGAAAATCGCTACAACTCTACCATCGAGGTGGGAGACCACCGATTTGTGGTGCTGCCCACAGGGGAGGTGTGGTCACGACCCGACGGCTCCTATCTCAACAAGCTGCTTATTACCCGTGCCAAGGAGGAGGACGCTGGCATGTACATCTGCTTAGGCGCCAACACCATGGGCTACAGCTTCCGCAGCGCCTTCCTCACTGTGCGGCCAGGTGAGGCCTGGGGAATGTCTGTTTACAGTGCAGCACTGCCACAGCAGCAGGATGTGTTACAAACATACTGCAGAGCAACTAATCAGCAGCTTGGACAAGGATCTGTGCTACCATTTTGGATATTTTATGCAGTTGTTTATTTTTAGGACTCTTCATTAATGCATGTAACACAATAACATCAGGGGAATGTCAAAAATGAAATGAAAGCGAGACCACATACATGTCAGAAAAATGTCATTAGGTCAGATGACAAAACAATGTTAACAAACCTAAATGTTTTGTTGTCACCTGTTTTATATCAGTTTTTGAAATATTATTCTCCACCAAATAAATAAAAACCTGTCAAATTCACCAGGCAGGGAGATTGAAACCTGTCTCTGTTCAAAGATTAAAACAATTTTTGTTAGGTAGGTTAGTTAGTTAGGTTTGGACTTGTTGTTCGGACATTTTATTACCTAAATATTGAATACAATTAGTTGATAGTAAAACTGATTATTTGTTTCAGGCCTTCACATGTGGATTTAAACAAACTAACGTTTAAAAGTTGGGACCTTGTTTTGAGATCATTTTGGCCCTCTTCTTTTGCAGACACGGAAGCCTCCCATCACGACCATGTTCTCGCCAGCTTCCAGCTCCCTCCCCTGGCCTGTCATCATTGGCATCCCTGCTGGAATAGTGTTCATCTTTGGCACAGTGCTGCTCTGGTTCTGCCAGAGCAGAAAGCACTGTCCCCCTCCCACCCCACAAGCTGCTGCCGCACAGGTACTGCCGAGCTCCCACCGGCTGCCGTATCGAGAGCGGGAAAGGGGCTGCATGGCTCCGTCCTCCAGTCCAGACAAAGACTGCTTTAACTATGAGGAGTACCTGGCACAGCAGCAGCTCCTCCTCGCCCATGGAGGGTCAGCAGTCCCCCCTAAAATCTACCCCAAAATCTACACTGACATTCACACACACACTCACTCCCACGTGGACGGGAAAGTGCATCAGCATCAACACATTCATTTTCAGTGTTAGCCTCAGTGCCAAATATCACCCACTGACTGCTCCAGTACTTCCGCGGGACAATGAGTTGTGGACTGAACAGCGGCTCCTGAGCGGCAGTCACCTGGCATTACTTTTCTTTTTTTTTTTAACTGTCGGACTCTTGTCACAGCTGGAGATTGCCGGGAGTGTGAGCACATGGGGAAAAACAGTGGCCAGTCATACACACTTTGTGTTTGTACATCCAAACTTCCATATTTGGTGCTTATTTTTTACCTGACTGATTCTCACACCACTAAAATCCACAAATCCTTGTTGTGCACTTAATACAAAAAGGACAAGGACGTTTTTGCAGCGTGTGAGTTTAATCGCAGCTATTCAGGCCAGCTTGAATTTTGCAGTTTCCTACTTGAGGTGTAGCTGAAAATCGAGGTTAGCTTTCACTTATTTAGCTGCTGGAGCGCAGGAGCTCTGTGTGTTCTGCCTGGTAATGAAGATGAAAATGGTACTCGAGATTTACAAAAGGGGCTGACTGAATGCTCCTACTCAGGTTGTCCTTTTGTTTGTTAAAGATGCATAACATTTGGAATGCTGACCACTATCCTTTACATTACTTGTCTCCATCCCTCACTTTTGTCCTCTGTTAAAAGTGAAAGAGTAGACTGGTTTTTTATAGCATGCAAACCTTGCCTGAGACTGCAAGGGATGGAAGAATTGTTTCCATGTTAACTGAATTGGTCTTCATTATCATTTTAACTGAGCATGTTGAGGTAAACCAGCAGGTCTTTTTGGCCTCCACAGTTTATGAAGCTGTAGGCATTTATAATCAAATTGAGTCATAAATATTTAATTTATTTTGCTAAAAAAAAAAAAAATGTATCAAAAGTTTATTTTTAAGAGTAAGGCGTTTTACATATCTATGTAATGTTATTAAAGTATACAGTATGTATAGTACATTTTGAGTACTTTGCCACCCAGTTTAATCAGTTAGTACATGCCAGTATTTAGGTATATATTTGTATGTAATTGGTATTGTTTGACAATCTTGTATGATGTACTCTGTTCAAAGCTCAAAAAACTAAGTCATCTAAAGTCTGATTTGGTAGTATGATTAAATGACATGAAACAAATTAGTCACATGCTTCACGAAGATTAATGCATTTGTTTGCAACACGTGAATATTCAACGGCTGCAGTCCGCGCTCACCAACAAAGGCATAAAAGTCCTTGTGAATAAGAGCAACAGTGGCTGGTACCTGTCATAACATAAGGGGGTGAGTGAAGACCGGTTAACTTTCTCCCTATGAGTGTCTGCTGAGGGTGACACAGAGGGCAGCAACCAGAGGGACAGAAGATGCTGGGATCGTGGGATGAATGACCAAACAGATACCACAGACACAAGAGCAGTCTCAGTCCCTTTTTGGATGAGTGATGGCCCCTGCAAGACTACACCGAGTGACCAGCATCTCTTCCCATTTAAGTGAATCAAGCCCCCCCCCCCATTCAACTCCAATCTAGGTAGGATTTCCTTTCTCCGTTTAGGAAGTGCATTGTTCTGCTACGGGAATGTGACAGGACCCTGTGATTGCTCAGGAAAGAAGGGGAGCATTGTGTCAGGTGAGCTCTTGTTTTGTTGTAAGCATGGCAGGATGGGGATGAGCTTTGGCTCCAGACAGATATGGGGTGAGTATGTTGAACAGCTCCTGTGTTTAAAGTAGAAATCCTACACAGAACAAACATTTTATAGGCTTCAAAACGGCCATGCGACTTCCATGTGCATTAATAATGCTTCAAATCCAAAACCCAGATGACAAGATTCAAAACATTAAACACTGCCCCCTAGTGGTTTGAAATAATGCAGAAATTAAAAGACTAGTCTAATAATTACCACAAGTCACTTAAACTTCTTTATTAACTTTTTACAGTATTATAAGAACATGTATAAAGACGAACCTACTACACAACAAATAAAGAAAAAGTACAGAATTTACAAATTAGCTCAACCCTTCTGAACTTTGTTGATAAGGTCATCACAAAGTTTGGTTAGCTCTTCAACCTCCTTCTCCTGTAAAAGAAAAAAAGATATTTTCTCATCTTCAACACCTCTGCAAATCCATACCATCTAATTAACATTCACTCACCTTCTGGTCCAGGCTCTTCTCCAATGACTGTGTCTTCAGCTGCTCACGACGCAGCTGCGCTTGAAGTGCAGATACCTCAGCCTTGAACTTGGACCGCACCTCGGCAATTTCTCCATTTGCACTAAAGGTGAACAATAAATGTCAGTCTGATGCGGCAAGTCTTACAATTTACACCATTAACACAGGAGAGTCAGATTTCTTACTGGCCAATTTTCTCCTCAGCGTGGGCTTTAAGGGTCTGGTAGCGCTGCTCCTCCTTTTTGATCCGTGCCAGATAGTCCTGAGCACAAGCTTTCAGCGTCTCTTCATTCTGGGGGGGAAAAAAAACAATTTACCCATCAAACTGACACAGCTTTGTTAAAACCTAGAAATGTGTCACGTATGCATTTGTGGTTCACAACAAGGGTAGTATTCATATTCTCTAACCTTTTTGTAACCCTCAATAACATCCTTGTACTTCTCCAGTCTCTTGAAAAGGTCTGAGAAAGATCTTTCCATGGCGTTCAGGTCACTGGACACTTGATCCTTCTCCAGCAGGGCCTTATTGAGCTTTGCTTGGGACACCTCCCTCTCCTTTTCTTGGTCAGCTGAATAATACAAGAAAATTGAAGAGCTCTTTTTAATACACCACTATGTCAGAAGTCCCTCAGTCTGTGACATAAAAATAATTTATATTAACTTACCCATCATTTTTGCAATCATGAGCTCAAATTCTGCAATTATTTTCCTGTTTGGGGAAAAAAAAAAAAAAAAGGTGTCAAATGTCTTGAAACATTGATATTAAATAAATGACAAAAACAAAATTAAACAAAGTACAGCTCACCTCATTTCTTGACCATCGTCTAGTAGCTTTTTATACTTTGCACTCCACTGCTCCTCTTTTTCCTTTGCCTATTGGAAAAAATACACCATTATCCTGGAGTCCATGTTTAAATTGGTGTCCTTTTAGAAAAGATGTTAGTTAATAGCCTTTTCCAACCTACACTGTTTCAAGTCAGGTGGCAAATCTCATCACTATGTGCCTTGTCTGTTCCTCAGGTTTAACTATGGATGTTCACAATTGTTATGAAATATTGATCTCAGTAAATGACTGAAGACTCTAAATAACTGATATCTGATTAAGAAAAAAAGATTAAGCTGATCGTTGACATTACCCATTTAATCCATGAATTGACTGTAGTTAAATCAGATTACTCTGAACTGCTTCAGGGATTGTTTGAAAATCCAATCAACAAGGTCTAGACTAGTTGTTTCAGTCTGTATAAACATGTGGTGTTCACACACTTCAAATGCAAAACCTCTTCAGCTTTTGGAACGACTGCTGTTATTCAAATCGCAAAAGACAGTGAGCAGGACATACTTCTGCCTGGACCTTGGCGATTGCTTCATCCATGTCTTTCTGACTGTACTTCAGCACTTCAATAATGGCATCCTCTGCGTTTGCTGGCTGGGGGAAAGGAGGGACGAGGCTCTCAAGGATTGGACGAGGCTAGATGACAGTAAATAAATCAAGTTAGGAGACTTAGCAAGGACGCACTGAATATTGTTTCCAAAAATAGTGGAAAGGCATTTCCACGTAGTTTCCAGGTACAGTCAATAGTGGCTTACTGGTGCTGTAGCATCAAACAGTTTGAAATAATCTTTTAGTGGTCCATTTGCTCTCTCTTCTTCCGCCATCTGTGGAGTTTCAAGCCTGAATGGGGGGGGGGGGGGGTTGAAATGGTCAAATTTCAGACAAATTTAATTTTGTTGTAGCAGAACAAATTCTGCTCCAACGTCCAGTGACAGCAGCAATCACAGTAAGTGAGAACAGAAGTGGTTCATACTGTGAAACAAAGGCAACAGGGCGGGGGCCGTGGGTCTGAGCGGCTGGACCTGCAGACTTCTTTGGGCTCTCTCTCAGGAGGGGGTCAAATTTAAGGTACAATGATTGTTTCCTCAATGCAGATTCCTTAAACTGCAGCAAGAGATTTAAAATACGTTTAGGTTGTGCATTGACCAAAGAAATTTGTTATTTAAACACATACACACAAAGTAAGCACTTACACTGCTGGACCCAAACTGTTCCAGGTAATCGAATTGGCCATCGAAGTCATTGGCCATGACTAGATATAAATATCACAGGTTAACATCAATGAGCTTTCCATTTAATGATGCTTCACAAAGAACACATTGAACAATGACACATTTCTGCAGGGATATATTTTCTATGAAACCATACACCAATACCCCCCCCCCCAAAACAATTTCTAAACTCAAATTTAAGGCAACCGAAACATTTACAGATCCTTGTAGAACTAGACAAAATAGAGTTAATGGCCTATATTTACTTACACATAGCTCCAGGAACAAACTCGTCATTGAATTCTGACAGGCCGGTCTGTGACGTCTGCTCAGGCTGACACAATTCAGAAAGCTCAGGACTCTCCTTGGGTTGCTTTGCTTCAAGTTGCTTCTCGTGGTCAGAGGCAGCTGCGAGTTCAACAGTCTGTCATTCACACAGTAACAAAAATGTTTGTGAAAACACAACCAAAGGAAAGTAAAATGAAAAGATGTATTTAGGTTTGTATCAAAGTGCATTACTTCTCCTACTGCTCCAGGGTTGGGACTGACAGCTGGGACAGTCTCTCCAGTGCTACAGAGGGCAAAAGCATACAAACTTAGTGAAATAAAGTGTCACTGGATGTAAACGCTTGATACACTCAGATAAAAATTTAAAAAATTAACATACCATGCTGGTGATGCTGCAGGCTTGTCTGTTTGCTCTGGAATGGAAGTTTCCATGAGCACAGGGCCAGCTTTCTTGCTGCACTTTGGAGAGTTGCTCATGATTGTTTTTGTGCCGAAGGGATTGAAGTTTGGGTCGTCAAATTTGTCAAAGTCAAATGAGTAAGACGCTTTGGGAACCGGAACATCATCAACATCAGTAGCGGCTGGCTTCGCTGGAGTTTCTTTTGGTGGTCTGATGTCACACGCCGGCTTCCCCACCTTAGATTTTAGACCAGGAGGCCTTTTGCCAAATTTCTTTGGTGGCGGTTTCTGTGGGACCTCACTGCCATCATCAAAATTGATCTCAAGCATGACTGGTCCTTCCTTGACTGGGGCACCAGCTGGCTGCAATATGGATTCAGCAGCTGATGGTTCCGCTACATTAGCTGAAATTGGGGCCTCTGCAGCTATGGGTTTCACCTCCTCAGGCTGAACAGGAACATCTTGAGCCAACTCAGGTATGTCAACATCTTTGGGTTTATTTTCCTTTATCTGTGCCTCCTCGACAGGTGGGGTACTGTCTGGCGTCTTTCTCCCAAGGACAGGGGAATTCTGTATTTTAGAGCCACCGGTTTGGAAAGGATTGATTGCGTCAAGGTTGTCAAAATCCAAGCTGTAAGAACCTTTCGTTGGTAGCGGTTTATCTTCTACAAAACTGCCCAAACAAGTCGTTGGCAGCGGAGCATCTTCTACAAAACTGCCTGACACGTTCGTTGGCAATGGCGCATCTTCCACAAAGCTGCCCGACACTTTGCCTTCACCAACATCCATCAACATTTCAGCAGGTTGTTTTTCATCAGGTGTGGCAGTGTATGAATCATGTTCCTCGACCGCTGGGAGCTTCACCACTGTGACCACACTGCTCTCTGTGGAGCTGATGTCGGCAGAGACGTCAACCAGCGAGTTTTCCACAGATGGGGAGAATGGGAGTGTCTCGTCTAGTGCAGACTCTATTTTGGCGGCCTCCTCCAAGATATTCTCTGGTTTGGTGTGTTGAGGCACAGTTTGATCTGTAGAGGTTTCAACAGCAGGCCTTGGAGAGAGGAGCATCTTACTAGACCCCTGAAATGGATTGACTGCATCAAGGTTGTCAAAATCCAGCTGATAGTCTCCTTTGCTTTGTATGGGCATGTCATCATCAGGATAAGATGACAGTTCTGAGGAAAATTCAAGAAGATCATACATTTTTCAACATTCAGACACATTCAAGGAAAACAAAATGTATATTATATAAAGATAGGTCAATTACCTTGTATGGGTTCACTAAGCTCAGTGGCATCTGGTAGCAAAGTGCTGTAAAAATAAAACAGACTGTTACTTAAACTGATCAGTCATTTCACTGGAGGCATTTTGCAGTATGAGAAATGTTGCTTACTTTGTTTTATCCAAATGTAGGGACTCCATTGCTTTTGCACACTCGTCCACGCTTGTCATCTTCACAGAATTGGGAGATAGAATTCTTCTACTCACTGGGTCTCTTCTTGGAGTCTGAAAACAAACCTACACACAAGTAAACTGATCAGTACAGTAAACGTAACCTAGATACAAGGTGATCTACAGGAAAAATAAAAATTTGATAGGAAAATAATATCCTAAATTTACATATGGTCAAAGTATCAAATAAAAAGGTGTCCAGTGTTAAAAAGGTGCAACAAAACTAAAGAACACTAAGCTGGTGACACAACTGTATAAAATGTTCAGCCAGGTGTCATTATGGTGTGAAAAAAAACAAACAAACAAAAAAACTAGATGAGCAAGGAAACGACATCTAAAAAAAAGTAAGCCGGTCCTGTACCTTTGCGACCTTTGGCACCGTCTTACTGGGTAGGTTCTCTGTCTGACGCAGGATAGAGGGCCTCCCTGTCGGCTGATCCAGGGCAAAAATGTCATTGATTGTGCTGTTCTGCTTTCCTCCAGGGTAGACCCCACGATTCTCATCATTCACATCAACAGAACTCATCCTGTAAAAGCCGAGAGACAAACTAAGTTACAGGGCTGGATTGGCCTGACTACACTCTGAGGGAGGCGTCATCCTGAAAGCTGCACCCAGTTGATAAGACACTTTTACTGATGTGTGTAAAAATGATGTGCACAGATGACAAAGTTAACAGCAGCATCAGAAACATGTCTGCCAATTTACGTATGTTGGTAAATCTTGGTCTGCATGTGCCTATAATTTTTATTTGTATAATAAGCTCCTTCTTTAGATAAGTTTTTTTTTTTTTTTTTTTTTTTTTTTAAACAGAACAATTATCCCCTGAGAGTAAAAAATAAATAAATTACAAAGCTGTTAACTACACAGGCAATGATGCAGTGTGCTAGGCCGACCTGCTGGCCAATATTAGCTTCCTGTAGATATGTTAATATCAGACTAATAACCAATAAGTAACAAGAAATGTTAACACAGCAATGCGAAAATGAGGTTGAGGTAGAAACAGTAACGTCATTATATAGTTTGTCCACCAGAGGGCACTAACAAGTTTATTTTATTTACTGTTAAATGTCTAGTTCACCACATATCTTGGTCACAATTGTGATCAATACATACATAATGTTGTATTGGCTGGAAACATTTTTTAATTATTTAAAACTCAATATATCTGATGAAAATTATATAATATCAGGTTTGAAATATCTGGTTTTGATCAGGCAAAATGAGAAGAAATGCACGGGTGAATGACTTGAGGCACCTGAAACTAAACCTTTTTTACAGTATACATTTTCACTGAAACACAGGTGTAATTAGTTACATTACAATGACTTTGTTCCATGTTTCACTAAATCATGCTAGTGAGCAAGCAACATTACAATGGCGTGGAAGTGACAAAACTTACAATTACATGTTATGCCAGCCATCGTCCTTTTTATTAATGACCTGTGCTTTTCATGCTGTGACATGTCAAAATGTCTGCTATGAAAAAGGTCTATTAAACAATAATTGGTGGAATGACCTGAAGTCAGTGAAACACTTACAAGGGATTTGAAAGGGATGAAATGATTTCCAAGTGACTTTCTGCTTGACTAATGTGCTTCAAGTTTGGTCTAAGAAAGTTTTTAATAAATAACGTTATATGACAAAGAGTCAACGCGGGATTTTTAGAATAAAGCTAACGTTAAATGTTAAGTACACACACGTCAATTATGACAAACATTTTGGTCCTAAATAATTACATAACATTTTTGACTGACTTTAACGTTATATGTTGAGGTATTAATATCTGCAACTAAGTGAGCTAAGGCATTTCTGAATCCAAGGCCAAGAACAGGTTGAATCACAACATAACGTTATAACTTCACACTTTAATGCAACACCGTTAGTGAATGACATTTGTCTTAACGTTATTGTCTTGGGACCAATGTCGCCAACGTTTTCATCCATCCGTTAGTTCTAGCTAACGTTAATATTAACACCCAACGTTAGCTTTCAAAGGCCAAAACATTCAACGTGACTGTGCTAAGGTTACACTAATGTTAGTCATTACCAAACGTGCCAGACGTTTGTCATAAAACCCACAACCAATTTTGACAATTAAGTTAGACTAATATTATTAACATAACTAACGTTGGCATTGGATGTTTACGTTAAATCAACAACAAAGGCTAACTTACGTTTGCTAAGCTAACTGTTAACGTTAACATTTCTTTTGAACGAACGTTATCTAAAGTCAAAGTAAAGCAGAGGGAAACAAAAAACTTGGGATCACATTTTATATACAGAAAACAGCAGGATATACTAACTATATTATCATCCTATACTGACCACCTACCTCAATAAAAGAAGCCGAAATTAAAACGGCTTTCGTCAACACATTCAACTGCTGGGCGACGGAGACGCTACGACGTAGTTTTGAAAAACCCTCGCCTGCGCCGGGTGACAACCGTTTGGAATTTAAAAGTCTTGAAACGCACCAATAACATCGCCAGAAACGTTCAAATGTAACGCGCTTCCTGGTTAAGCATCCAATCGCGCTAAAGAGCGGATATGATCCAATCGACGACTGCGCAGAATGGGTCAACAAATTAAAAGAGAATAAAAGATAATACGAAAGGCAAGATAATTGTTTCGGCAATTAGCTAAACGTAACAGCTACAGTTTCCAAGCTCAGCGCACACTACGACAAAATCAAAACTGTACCGACAGTTTTTTTTAACACTGGCTTTTAATTACCGTCAGACAATGAGATATGAGGTACTCTACGAACCGCATTCAAGTTTGATTTATGTATTGACAATATGTGCGAAACACAAGGCTTGTTTATCGCATTAGCAAAGTGATAACATTGCGTAAATAACACGACAATAAACCTATAATCCTGTTGAATATATAAAGGAAATTGGTTCACTGCATTCATTGCTTTTTATGTCAAAACCAACGTGATTTGGTTTAGAGGCATTGAATGTGAAATGGAAAGTAAGGGGAGGGGAGGTGGAGGCATTTATTATTCCTTGTTTAGAGGAAGGCCACTGGTCCCTGTGTTTAACTAAGTTTAAACTAATTTAAATTCATAGCTCCAAACAAACATAATCAGGAAGTGTATAACAGTATCAGCTGTTGAAACCCTAAAATACCACAAATTATCTCAGCAATTTTGTCAGTGGCAATTAATTATGGTCTGTCTCCCTGCTAGACATCTTACCTAGTTTCAGAGAGCCTTTGTTATTGGGGGCCAAGGTAAAAACAAAATCTATGTATCTATTATGTCTATATCCCCACTTACACCACCTGCGTTAATACTGACTTTGTTATTAGTTAAAATTGACTTTATTAGTAGTTAATATAACATTTTATGCTTTATCAGTTATAAACTGGTATAATACATATTTTTTTTAAAAACTTGGATGTCTACAGGATTTCTTATGTTTGTGTATATCAATTTATCAACTTGGAGGAATTTCTTCAATAGACTGTTTGAAAACATACCACAGTAGAAGGCTGCTGAGCATTTGACCATTTAGGTACTAAACAGCAAAACTGGCTTCATGGCTCATATAGTAGTTCAAGCTCTGGACCTCAAGACCCAACACTCTTTATCATGAACAATAAATTGCTAAATGTGGGAAATGTGAAATTTTAACACTGGATATGTGATTGAACAGGAGTCATTCTTCTGGGAATGGGACGGGAAAGGAGTATTTTTATGGGAGTGGGATGGGACGGGATTGGTAATCCACTCCTGTGTCACCAAGGGCAGATATTTCATGTCACATCCTGTTAACACTGTGAAGTTGAACGTCTTTGACGACAGAAAACAGCGTGTTAACACGTCGATTTTGGGTTCTACCACTCCATCAGTTTCTGATCCTGTCCTGTCATGAACAGACTTTTGAATAGATTAAAACACCACATTTATGTTTAGAAATAAATTCTTATAAAACAGAGACTGAAAACACACCTGTAGAGTAGTGTGAGTCTGATTTTCTACACTCCGAAATAATATATAATTATATTGTAAAATAAACACTGAATTTGTGGCATAAAGGTTTGTTTTATTTAAAAAATAACAAGTGAAATCAGCAAACAGCTCTGTTTAATTCTAATCGGGCCTCTGTCATGCTTATGTAGGCCTACCCTGCTTTATGCTTCCTATAGGTCTAGCCCAATTCTGGATTTAATTGCGATTGTAATTTCGATTTAATAGAACTGATGTAATGCCTGTATTTTCTTTCACTGGATGTAGACAGTAAAAATCACCTACCATCGACCATTTAAAATAATTTCACCCTTTCAGAACTCTTCAGGAAGTCATGATGTTGCACACTCCGGTACAGTAGGTGGCGGCTGTGGTCTGTGGTCCGGTATTAAACGAAGAAGAACGAGAACAAGAATAGGATGAAGAGAAGAAGAAGACGACGACGACGACGGGGAGACCTGCCCGCCAATTTGGAAGATGTAAACAGTGTCGTCCTTTTTTCGTCTGCTGTGAAACAAAGTACATTTTACCTCAAAACGTCAAACATTTGTGAACAATGAATCCCAGTGGAAAAGGTAACGCACTAAATTCATATGTGTTTGGTTAACAAACTAATGTGCTGTCACCATGCCACAGACAGCTACATTTAATCAACATTCACTGTTTTTTGGTAAGCTATTTAATCTTTTTACATACAGTCTATGTATTTAACCTAAGTTAGTCGGAGTCAGCTAACATGACTTACCAACTCTTTAACGTTACTATCTTGACCGTTTTAAACGCGCAGTTATATTAACGCTGTGTTTACTGACTAACGATACTAGTGTTTATAACGTTTAGCTTTAGGAAGTCAAACTATCGGCTAACGTTAAATAAATGTTAATCTTGTAATTTTGTTGACAGGACCCGCCGATTCATCCCAGCTTGCTCCCAGGTAATGTAGTAACTTTAGGTCACTTTGCTTACTTCATCCAAAAAAAAAACGAAAACCAAATATGTACAGGAAGTTATCTGTGTGTGGATACTTTTTTCTTCCTAAGTGATTGTGGGTTTGACTGTTGGGCTAGTCTTTCTGTTTGGACTGAGGATACATTCTCTTCACACAGTGGAATAAACATTTCCATGTCCTTCAAAGTTAATGAGTAGCTGCAACATTAGTAAAAACAATTACCTGCATGATTTACAAGTGTTAATGTTTTTCATTTTATTCCTGGTGCTACAGCAGTGATAGCGACTCCATCAAAGTTTTTGTGCGAGTGCGACCTCTGACCCAGGGTACTGGGCTGACCACAGATGGAGATCAACATCTGTGTCTCACAGTCACCTCCCCCAACACCATCCGTCTGCTTTCAAAACCAGAACCACGGACCTTCACCTATGATCATGTTGCTGACATGGATATATCTCAGGTTGGGAGCACATGGTTATTGTATTGTCAACGTACCAGTGACATGGGTTAAACTAACTTGAGTGACTTAATAGTGACCTCGTTTGTCAGTGTGGGATGTAGACTTTATGACTCATAATGTTGGTCCTGGTCGGTGTGCATAATCTTTATCTGTCATTCTTTAACAGGATTCTGTTTTCTCCATTGTGGCCAAGAATATTGTTGAGTCTTGCATGAATGGATACAATGGGACAATATTTGCCTAGTAAGTGGTCTTTATGTTGTTTAGGTACAGTACAACATTTTCAGTATTTTAAGGCATGATCGCTCTGCTTTGTGCTTCTTGTGAAATGCCCATTAATTTCCTAATTGGATCCCTCTCTTGCTTCTGCAGTGGGCAAACTGGCTCAGGGAAAACATTCACCATGCTTGGTAAGATTTCAATATGTTGATTATATTGTGTACTACAAATTGTTTAAGATCCAGCAATAGAATAATTGCAGTGACAAATTTATTCTCTCTCTCTCTAGGACCATCTGAGTTGGACAACTTCACAGATGAACTAAGGGGGGTTATTCCTCGAAGTTTTGAGTACCTGTTTTTTCTCATCAACAGAGAAGTGGAAAGGGTGAGCTGTAACATTTCGTAAACATGAAAGTCTTGTATACCAATATTTCATATTTGTTTTCTCATGAATCTGGTCTTTTGTTCTTTTTCCTTTAAAGTCTGCCAAGTCCAAGAGTTTCCTTTGCAAATGTTCATTTATTGAGATATACAATGAACAAATCTATGACCTTCTGGACACAGCCTCAGCCAGCCTTTTCCTCAGGGAGAACATCAAGAAAGGTGTATTTGTTGAGGGAGCTGTCGAGAAGTTTGTCAACTCAGCTGCTGAAGCCTACCAGGTATAAATACTTTGAGGCCTTTTACTTGAATACTTTTTGTGTCATAGAAGGTTATTGTACTATGATAGATCGTAACACTTGTGTTCCTATTCTATCATAATGTAAAAAGTGTGTGTGTGCGTGCACATTTTTCTTTATTAAGCAATGTCAAATTATTACAGACTGGTAATCACATTCTATGCATAGGTGTTGTCAATGGGCTGGCGTAACCGACGAGTGGCCTCCACCTCCATGAACCGCGAGTCTTCCAGATCTCATGCAGTGTTCACTATGACTTTGGAGTCCAAAGAGTCCATAAATGAAGTGGTGAACATCCGAATGTCTCAGTTGAACCTGGTAGATCTGGCAGGGTCTGAGAGGCAGAAAGACACACACACAGAAGGCTCCAGACTCAAGGTGAAGCTTCGTACATGAATTCAGTCTCATACTAAGGTACATTTATTATTTTTGCTGTTGCTAACAGTTGTTGTATGCATTGCTTCTCTTTCAGGAGGCCAGCAGTATCAATCGCTCCCTCATGTGTCTTGGTCAGGTGATCATGGCACTGGTTGATGTGTCCAATGGGAAGAACCGCCACATCTGCTACAGGGATTCTAAACTCACCTTCTTACTAAGGGTGACTGTTTTTAAATGCAAAATACATCCTAGGTGTGGCTTTGAAGGGGGAGTGTGTTGCTTTGTATCAGTGTGGAGTTCTTCAGTGGAATTAGGTGGTTTGTTTTCATGTGAAACATTTGTAAATTACTTAAATGTAATTATTACATAAAATACACATTTTCATGTTGCAGTTCTGTCAACTGAAACCGCCATGGATGTTTGTCTTGGGAAGAGATTATATAACTCACATTCAACCCGTGTATGAACTCTTTGAACAAATACTGGTTGTGTGGGATGTGAGTTGGTTTAAATTAAAGCTGGGGTAGGTAAATTTGGAGAAACTATGAAGAGACGGCTAGATTTTGAAAGTAAAATCCCACCCCTCCCTTGAGGCCTTCCTCCAAAGCCACTCCCCCGAAACACATTTTCATGTCCAGTGATGCTGTCTTCACGTGCTCCTCGGATGGTCTCACATCCCGAGTTGAAGTCATTCTTCCGACTTCAGTGAGAGTTTTAAGTTATGTGTTTCTGAAATAAGTTGCCTACCCCAGCTTTAACAAGAAGCAGGATCAGTCTCGTA